CACTGCCAGAGTCGACTCACGTTCAGCGAACCGAGGGCTCGGACGATTGTCTGGAGAGGCCGAGGGCGACGGGCTGCGGCGCTTGCTTGTTCGCTTGCCCACAGCCGCGTCACCCGATGAACCGATCGCCTCGGAGGCCACCTGAGTAGCCTCCTTAAGTGCAGAGCGAGCGAGTGCACGCTGTCGTCGTCGTGCTCGCTGGGCACTAGAGTATACCCTCTCACGGAGCCAAAAGGAGCATCGTGAGTGATCCCGGACTCGGCTTCGTCCTCACTACCCAAATCGAACTCACGTTCAGCGAACCGCGGGTTCGGCCGATTGTCTGGAGAGACCGAAGGTGACGGACTGCGGCGCTTGCTTGCACGCTTGCTCGCAGCCGCGTCACCAGATGCGCCGATCGCCTCCGAGGCCACCTTAGTAGCCTCCTGGAGTTCAGAGCCTTTGCCGCGAGCCTTTGTGCTCTTGGCTTGCGCCTTTCCGGCAGCAGCCTTGGAGCGTGTCTTCGCACCGCTCTTTGCAGTGCCACGAGGCATGGTTAACGGTCGAAGTGGAGACCACGAAGAAGAGCGCACAGACTGTTGCTCGAGGCTCTAACTGTGAAGTGAGCCTCCGCCACGCTCGCGCGGCCAAGTCGATGGTTTTCGACTTTGAAAGTGAAAGTTTGTGACGAACACTTCTTCATTCTGATTGGTCGGTAAACCGAACCTAAGTGGGAGGATGTAACGGGGTACGTAGCCCTACGTGTACTCCTGGTTACATGAAGTATGACACGTCATACTTCGGGATATTTGGTACAAAGTACCAAGGTCGTTCAAAGCCAACCATTGGCTAACGACGTTGCATTTCTAAAGGTGACTTATCATTTGTTTTAAACCCAAGCTTTATCTACCTATAAATATACTCAGTTTACATTCTACCTTAAATAGGTCACTTCGCTTTCTTTTGATAAAGAGGGGACCTGTGAATTGGCCTTCACTGAGAGTTTGTATACTCTCGGAAGCTAACTTCCTCTAGCGCAAGGTGCTGTGTGACCCCGTCACAGTAGCAAACTCCGCCGTGAGACGGCGAGCCCCCTGGGACTTCTCGATTCGGGTCCTTCTCAGCTTCCATTGTTTGGCTCTGTTGGAAGGGGGAAACGCGGATCTACAACATAAACAACGTTTTTTACTGGCCAATATTTTTTTGCTGCACCAATAATCGTCGCTCAGCTTCATTCTCAACCGAGCGCTCGGGGTAGGGTACGCATGCAACGCATGCGTCAAGAAAAACGCTTCGGTTGAGAACGGGCCTAAATGTCTCATATTACGGTTTGCGGTTGTCACTCCGTCCTATTTAGACAATTTTATTTAAAAAGTAAATACCGCCGCGTAGCGGCGGCGCTCAGTTTCAACTTACCTTAAACTGGTCACTTTGTTCCCTTCGACCAAAGGGACCTGTGAACTACAGCTCATTGAGAGTTTGTACACTCTCCGAAGCCGACTTCCTCAAGCGCAAGGACGCTAGGATTCTCGAACGGAGCGGTACAAAAAGTAATCGATCCATAATGATGATGCCTTGGCGGCTTTTATCTACTACTACAACGCAGACTGCAAAACACCTCGCTTTATTATTTTTATGTATTTCTAAGAGCTGCGCGTTTGCTACGGCTGACATGAGTACGGAGACGACTCACGCATCATCACTCTCTTTGTTTTCTTCTCTTACACCTCCGAATCGATGAGAATCCACTTGATACGGCGGAAACATTTACGCACAATCTCCTCCAGTTCACCGTATCGTCCGCTGTACATGAGCAGGTTATGCATCAAACGAAGGCGATCTCCTACGTGCCGCAGACGTTTCTTGATCTGATTCAACTGCGACGTACCGAGACCCTGAGGAATCAAATTCTCCACCACAGTACGGAACACGTAGCCATCAAGCGGATCGGTCAAGGCCACCCGCAGATGCAGTTCCGCCGGCGCGTTCTCTCCCAGTTCGTTGAGCTTAGCTTCGTATGTCTGCAGCAAGGCCGACACCTTCTCCCAAGCCTCTTCCTGTCCAGGAAGAGGAGCGAGCTCCGATCCATGAGCGTATTCAGGGTGAAACTTCTCACGACCAACGACACGCAGCAGCATGTTAAACAGAGCAAGCTGCAGTGCAATATTGTCACCAGGTTTGTGGTGGAACTCCTTCAGCAGCGCCTCCAAGATCCAAAAGATGCCCAGAGCCTCGGACGGATCGTCACGACACTCCCACACCAACTTAGCGACGGACACATCCACCGCCAGACTGTACTCAGGCTTTGTCAAGCCAAAGTGCGTCATCCACTCGACCGATTTGGCCAAGTACGACTCCAGTTTCTTGGGCGAAGACGGCGCAGTCTCCCCAATCATGTATTGGTGAAGTGGGTGCGCCACAATACGCTGCATGGTGTCGCCAGTCACATTGTTCGACAGCAACTTGTGCAGAGCGATCGTCGGATACAGCGACTTGCGCCCCGTGACGTCCGGCAGTAGACCGCGCATCAAAAACTGGATACGCGACCACGACAAACCAGCGAACAGAATGTTTCCCTGTCTGTCCAACCCACGTCGACCAGCGCGACCAGCCATCTGCTGGACCATCAGCGAGGTCAAGACGCCGTCCGCTGTGTCTTCACAGAAGCAGCACGTTCGGAACGGCATGTTGACACCGTAGGCTAGAGAGTCATCCGAGAACACCACAGCCAGCCGGCCAGCCTGGGCAAGCGCCTGCACAATACGCAGATACGCAGCCGGCAGATTCTGGTTGTAGATGGCAATACCACGACGCAACGAGCGCACCAGAGCGTGTCCGTCGTCCGAGTCTTCTGACAGTTCACGACGCAGTTGCCACTTGATCTCCTTAAACTCTGTCGCAGTAAGACGGGATCCAGCAGGGGTCAGTACGAAGTCTGGGTGAGGCGCGTAGATATCCGGAGGCGGCTTCTCCTCAAAAGCCTGAGCCTCACGGTCGTCTTCTTCCTTGCCCTTGGCCTTCACCTTTGCTTCACGCTTCTTCATAGTAGCCTGGTTCTTCTCCCACTCGGCGTATTCCAGCTGCACCTTCTCACGAAAGTTGGGGTACTTGGCAACCTCAGCCGCTTCAATAGATGCCAGAAGCTGGTTGAATAGCTGACGACAGCGGACAGAGTCGAGCTGGAAAGCAATGGCAGGAACGAGGTTCTTAGCGCAAAGCTGGTTCACAAGCGCGTAGACATCCACCGAGCTGATAGGGTTCGTGTCGCGAGGATCATGAAGCTCCACAGTGACGTCCTGCAGACTGGCTGGTGGTGCGAAAAAGTCGAGCAGAGACTGAGTCGCCTTTGGTTCCTTCGAGGCAAGATCTTCCAAGCGCTTCTTGATTTTATCTTCGTACTTCTTGGATTCCATCAACGTGATACGGTGAGTGCGTTTACCAAGATCCACAACAAACTCTTCGTCATCATCCTCGTCCTTCTTGGACTTCTTGTCCTTTTTAGATTTCTTGTCTTTCTTCAATTTCTTCTCCTTCTTGCTTGAGGTGGTGTGGGCAGCAGTCTCATTTTCAGTCTCATCCTCCAGCTCGAAGAATTTGTGTGGATTAACGTCCTCAATCAGCTCAGCAGAGTAAAATTTCTCCATCGCTTGCCACAGAGCAAACGCATCACGAGGCGTAAACGCCAGATCGCCAGCATCGAAACCGATAGTCGTGAGGTAGTCCAATGTCACGCCAGCACATGGATGCAAGTACACCATCTCCTGCTTCTTGTTGGGGTTCTCCGCATTGGCTTCTTCCTCGTACCAGATAATACGTTGGAGATTAATGAAACGGCCCTTGTACTCGAGTAGATGGACGTCGCGCGCAAGGTGCGACTCCCACCAGCTCAAGAGCTTCTCAGCGTTGCCAATTGTGGCAGATAGAGCCAAGAAGGGGCACGTCACGGCCTTGATGATGCGTTCCAAGGCGTCTCCTTCAGGTCCGTTCAAGTCGTGGACTTCATCGTATACTGCGTACTGGAAGTCATAGCCAACGTCCACAAGTGTCGACTCGACAGCACGTGGAGTGCCCACAGCGATCCGAAATCCAGGAGGGAGGAAGACTGTGCCCTCGGTGATGAGAGCGACTGATCCCTTGACCATGGCCTGGAATAGAGCTGCCACTTGCCACGCCAATGGATCAGTGGGGACGATAAAGAGCACTTTACCTCCCACCACAGACACGTAGGACGAGAGCACCGTTTTGCCTGAACTGGTGGGAGCACACACAATAACGGAATGGTTCTGGTCGATATGAGTCAACACAGTGCGTTGCCAGTCGTCGAGGATGAATTTGTTCATGTGGTGCATGTTGAGAGGCGGTAGGCGGTCCGACATCTCGGTCAGTTGCCACTCGATGAGGTCTTTATCAGCCAAATAATCGTTCACGACCTTGGCGTACTTGCGATACTTTTTGTGTACGGCGTTGAGCTCCACTAGCAACTTGGCGTCCTCTACTTCGTCCATTTTCTTTTGCTTATCGTGTTTCTTACGGCCGTCAGGACCCAGAGCTGAGCGCTCAGGCATGAGTTTGGTGCGCTGGATCTCCCAGAGCGTGTCTACAGCATCTGTGTACTCTTTCTTCTTGCAGCAGTCACGTAAGATCTCGTAGAGCTGCTTAAGACGACCAGTGGGGGTCACCATCTTCATGTCCAGCAGATTCTTGGACTTCTTGACGTTCGCCAGCTTCTCCTCGTCTACTTTGCTCTGCTTCTGGGCCTTGTCCTTGGCCAATTGCATGCGGATAATATCCGCCTTCTTCAGTTTCCCGCTAGCTGCGCCTTTCTTGTCTTCTTTAGGTGCGTTCTTCTTGTCCTGAACAGCCTGGGCCTCCTCTTCCTGCTCTTCCGGCCACAGGTTGCGAGGGTTGAACGGATTCGTTGGCGCCAGATCGCGCAGAATCACGGGCATGCGGTCGGGCCAGACCTTCTGCCAGTTGACGTCGTACATATCCGACTTCTTGTCCCCCATGGCGGCTGGAGACTGTCAGGTTTACTCACCTGGTTCGGCTGCCTTGTACTGTTTTACAAGTTGTAAATGAGGGAAGGGCGGTCGTTTCGTGGTCGCACCAACCGTTCAACGGGCCAGCCCTTCTCCCAAAATGAATACAAACATCAGGTCGCATAGGTATCTTAGCGTGGTTACATGATATGGTGTGCCAGCCACATTGGTGTGTGGTGTACATATCCATCGCCCATTGCCCACCATGGTACCGGTCCCACAACACTAGATGTGACCACTGGCGGTAGCTAACCCACGCTGTCTATCTGATGCCACAGAATCGCATTCGGATGCTGATCAGCTTGTCGACCACGCGAAACGCCGTATCGCTAGCGGCGGCGGGCGTGTTGGGTCTGCTTGGTGGCGGCCTGACTTCGCGGGCGGAGCAGTCAACGGCGCTGGCGGACGCGGGCAATGAGGCAGTGGTGAAGGGCCAGACGGGCGAGTGGTATCCTAACACGACGACCAAACACTGGCACTTCTACAAGGGTAAGATGAACCCCAGCGCCGCCAAGTCTATGAAGCTGTTCAAGGTGGCTGACACGCCCATTGCGGATGAGATCGCCAACTACTTGGGTGTTGAACTCAACGATATGGAAGTCAAAAACTTTAACGACGGAGAAACAAGCGTTATCGTCAAAGAAAACGTACGCGGCAAGCGCGTCTACATCGTCAGCTCCACGACTACGGTGGATCGGTGAGTCAGCAGCTGCATGTAGCTTTTAAGGTCCTAACTATTGATATGCTTCTTATCATTACAGTCTGATGGAGCTACTGTTGGCCACCTCGGCTATGCGTCGCGCCTCGGCCAAGAGTATCACAGCTGTGATCCCGTTCTACGGCTACGCGCGCATGGATCTTATGCACAAGGGTCGAGAGCCGATTGCTGCTGCGGTGAGCACTAAGTACAAAGCAACTACCATGTGAAGAACATTGACTAACTGTGTTTATGTATGTCGAGACTTAGGACATTGCCCGTATGCTCGAGACCATGGGCGTGGACCACGTTGTGTCGGTGGATCTTCACAGTGCGCAGATCGAGGGCTTCTTCAAGCCGCAAATTCCGGTATAGTGACGCAATTCTTGTGACGAGGAATACGGATATGCTTGTTCATTGCGTCAACTGCTGCTTGATGGGTATCAGGTCGACAATCTCCAGGCTTTTCCTGTTGGCGCCGTGTATTTTTCGGAGCAGAGTGTGGGTGACCCGATCGTCGTGGCGCCACACTCGGCTGCTGTAAACCGTGCGGTCATATTCCGTGACACTCTGTCGCGGACACTTGACGAGTTTGTGCCACTGGCATTTGTGATCCGCAAACACCAGCTCAATGAGGACCAACCTGGCGAGCTTGTTGGTGATGTAAAGGGAAAAGATTGCATCGTGGTGGACAACCTGGTGGACACTGGCTCGACGCTGGTTAAGACTGCCAAGGTACTGAAGGCCAATGGAGCTAAGACCGTCTCGGCTTTTGCTGTGCATGCTCGTTATTCTGCTCATGTACGTTTATCTGAACCGACTGCTGTATGCATGCAAAAAAGTTGAACAAGTGGGTGACGTGTTTCTTTAGGCCATGGAAACGCTGCAGAGCTGCAAGGAGCTGGACAAACTGGTGACCACCAACACGATCCCCGTCCACCTGAACGAGATTTCGCATAAGATCGTGACGCTGTCGGTAGCTCCCTTCATTGCTGAGGTAATTTCGTGCATCCACACGAAGGGCTCCATCATCCAGGTGTCTAAGACCAAGTAGGGCAGTCAAAGCGGGACAGAGTGTGTCTTACAGAGACTGTTCATTGGTCCAAAGTAGTTTCATCCAATTACCAGCAACAACTGTTCATTATCTGTTCCTGCATTGTCATTTGAAGTCTTCAGCCTGAAGCACTATGATGGCGGAGGACAAGAAGCCGCAGGAGGAGCTCGAGTTCATTAGCGTCGACGCAAACGCACAGACCACCGATGCCCCCGCTTCGACCGAAAGATCCTCAGGCGCCAAAAATGATGTCAGCCCCAAGGCCAGCGGCAAAGAGGCGCTGTGCGTGGCAGAATGATAGTTCGAAAATGGCCTTCAGAAAATGACTGACGTTTTGAAAATGCAGACTAACGTCTATGCGGAAAGTGGTGACGAGCGCCAAACACCCAGTAGCTGCCTTCTTCCACCTGTTTTTCAAGGGTTTGGCGCTGTTGTTGTATTTGTTCGGCAGCATCTTCACAAGCGATTTCGTCTTCATCTTCGTGGTCTGCATCCTACTTTTGGCTTTCGACTTCTGGGCAGTCAAGGTACGATAATAAGACATCTCTACCAAACTATGAATGGGTTTCTTAACTGCTGTTGTAGAATGTGACGGGTCGACTGCTCGTGGGTCTGCGCTGGTGGAACAAAGTTAACGAGGACGGCACGAGCGAGTGGGTGTTCGAGTCTCACGAGGACATGACGGAGATCGACCCACTGGACTCGCGCGTCTTTTGGACGGGACTCTACGGCGCCCCAGCTCTGTGGGTCATGCTGCTCATTGTTGCCTTGCTTAAATTCAATGTTGAGTGGGCGCTTATCGTCGTGGTCGCCGTAGCGCTGAGCGGCGCCAACATCATCGGCTACACGAGATGCAAGAAAGATGCCAAACAGAAGATGCAGTCGTTGATGTCCCAGGGCGCTTTGGGCGCCTTCGGTTCGTCCGCTGGTTCGTCAATCATGTCTACTATTGGTGGATTGGCTCTCGGTAGAGACCTCAGCGAGCTTGCAGCCAAGAAACCTACAAAGGCTGAAGTCGTCGTCTAAAAAAACAAAACTTCAACTGGAAGACTTAGATATCTGCCCCCCACCAGTGGTGGCACCACCACTAACCTTAATAAGACGCAAAACACCATTGTCGATTGTCAATACTACTAGTACATGTCATGCATCTGTATTTGTCTAGGGCAGAGAAACATGAAAAAGAAAGAAATTAGTTAAGCGGTTTACGACCTCTTTGTGCTGCCATTGTCATCGACTGCATACTCGCTAAATTCGCTCCAGAGCTTCTTTAGCTGCTGCCAGAGTCCGCGATCAAATCCTTCATCTGGTCGTTCAACTGCGTGTAGAATTTGTGGTATTCAAAGATATCACCCTTGCCACGACGCACCTCAACCAGATGAAGATTATCCGCGAGCATGAAGATCTGGATAACCACACCGACCGCGCCCTTGGGCGTCTGCAGCACAGCCTTCACCTTGGACGAGTTCTCCACGTTAATCTCGCAATGGAGACTCTCCAAGTGGCCCGTCAGGCGAACCATGATGCTCGCCGCAGGGATGGTAGACGTGAACTGTGTCGATCTCTTCACCCGCTTCTCGTCGTTGCTTTGGAACATGCGATTCAACGCCATGCCGCCGCACATGTTGATCAGGTCAAATGCATTCATCACCTTCAGGCCGCCGTCCTGTTTGTCCTTCTTGCCCGAGTTGATCTCGTCCTGATGCTCCAGAATAGCGGCGTCCAGATCAGCTTGGCTAGGCTTAATGGTCATGTGGTCCACGGGGCTCGGCACTGGAGCAACCGCCAGCTCCTCACTAATCGTGCCAGGACCAGCAGCCGGAGCCACCTGCTCATCAGCGCCATTCGCGTTGACGAACCACTCGTCACGCAGAATCTCCTTGATCGAAATACGTGTCTCCGGATCAGGCACGAGGATGCGGTTCAGTAGCGCTTTGACACGCGGGAGTGAACCAGCTCGGTACGAAAACTCAGCCTTCTGGATCTTGCTGAAAGCGCAGACATAGTGGGTCATCGACGGAAGGAAACAGCAGCAGCACATACAAGATCACCCCCATCGACCACACGTCAGCAGCGCGCCCATCGTAGCCCTTGTCAGCAAGGACTTCAGGAGCCACATAGTTGGGTGTACCACACGTCGTGTGCAGTAGTGACGCTCGTGAGCTCTCCGGACCATCCGGGGCTCCACCCTCGTACAGGGCCGAGAGACCGAAATCGGAGATCTTCAAATCTCCATTCTCATCCAGCAGCAAGTTCTCTGCAGTATAAAGTTGAGAGAAGATTCAGTTGTTGATGGCCCAACTTCTCGTAATTTTGGTATTACATGAAGGGACTGACCAGGCTTCAGGTCGCGGTGGCACACGCCGTTCTCGTGGCAGTACTGGACACCATCCACGAGCTGGCGGAAGTAGAAGCGCGCCGTCTCCTCGCTGAACCTGTACATGTAGTCGTAGCAGCATAGAACGAGGAATGAGTCAGCACTATATCCAGAACCATCTCTTGCACGCTCTTTAGCTGAGCGTTGCTTCGACACGTGCCTCCCTTCGCTCACGATCTTGTCAAACAACTCGCCACCCGTGATCAGCTCCAGCACGATGAAGATCTACAGCCAGTAATAAAGAATGTTATCAATATCCGCCCCCTCCCTGACATTGCGACTGCTGACGGACCTTCGTGCGACTGGCCAGTACCTCTTTGAGCACTACGACGTGCTTGTGGCGCACCATTTTCATAATCGAGATCTCCTTCTTGATTTGCGCTCCCATGTTCTGCTTTTGAATCTTTTCTTTGTCCAGCACTTTAATGGCCACGCGCTCGTCCGTCTCAGTGTTCACCGCATACTTTACTCTACAGATATAAACTCAAATAAGTTGACTCGCATCCTTAAAAGTAATGATAGAAAAGTGCGCACTCACTTTCCGAAAGTTCCCTCACCGAGGGTCTTGCCAATCTCGTACTTCCCTGGGAAGCGGTGGAAACAGTGACGAGTAACAGAGCATCAGCGCGGTGAGGTGGATGATCTATCGCAGCAGGCGCAACCTACGTACCGACTTTCTTGACCATGTTCGCAGACAGAAGCGGCTAATACTCCCTCCCTCTGACAATCGGATCCACAGCCTTTTTCTCCCTTTGACTTTTCGACGGGATTTTCGTTTCGTGGTGTGACAAACACCAATTGGCCTCCGATTGCACTGTAAATGACTGCACCCGTTCTCGCGATCTTGGACCTTTAATAAACATCCGGATGTGATGATCCAGAATCCAAATGACTATAATTTGTCAGCTAAAATCTGATTTATTGTCAGATCCTATATGGTCCAACCCCGCGAAAAGAGGGTGCAGTACTGTACCGTTCTGACTCGCACTTAATGCATTTCGGATCCATTAGTACATTCGGAGGACATGCATTTCAGACGACTCCATGATGGAGCTGCCGGAACTAGAGCCGCTGTTCCATGCGCCGCCCGCGTTGGAAGACGCTGAAGCGTCTGCTCTGCCCATGATCCCCGTGACAATTCTATCTGGTTTCCTTGGCGCAGGCAAGACGACGCTGCTTAAATTTATCCTGTCCGCGTCACACGGAAAGCGCATCGCTGTAATCGAGAACGAATTTGGTGAGGAGATTGGTGTTGAGAGTCTTGTGGCTAAGGATGGCGCAGGTGGCGATGTGATGGACGGGTTCTACGAACTCAGCAATGGCTGCGTGTGCTGCTCAGTACGTGACGACCTCGTCAATACGCTGGAGAAACTGCTAGAGCGTCAAGACCGCTTCGATTACATTGTGGTGGAGACCACAGGCATGGCAGATCCAGGTAAAGTGGCCAGCGTCTTCTGGGTGGATGATGAGCTCGAGGGACGAATTTTCCTAGACGGAATTGTAACTCTCGTGGACGCGCCACGCCTCAACTTCCATTTGAAACACCCAGACACGCAGAGAGAGGCATCGGCTCAACTGGCCTATGCAGACAGGATCTTGCTGAACAAGAGCGACCTCGTGCCCGACAAGGAACAGCGACTGGCGATAGAAAAGAAAGTGACACAAGCCAATGGCATGGCCAGCGTCCGATGGGCCGAGAGATCCAGAGTCGAGCTGGGGGACATTCTCAACATCAAGAGCTTCACGACGAGCAGGGCTGCACAGGTGGAGAAGGAGTTGCATACACTACTGACTGAGGGTAAAGAGGAGGACCACGACCACGAGGATTGCAATGAAGAGAGCGACGTGAACGCGACCCACACGGGAGGTATGCAGACCACGTGCGTGAGAATTCGAGACGGGTTATTGGGCCGGGACAAGCTCGAGAGGTGGCTAGGAGAGCTGCTATGGGAACAGGGCAAAGCCGTGGGTGCAGAGATTCAGCCGGGGTCCGAAGCTGCTACGCGTCAGGAGCTTTTCCGTGTGAAGGGTGTGGTGGCGGTTGCAGGAGAACCGAAAAAGTTTGTTTTGCAGGCTGTGCACGAGCTGTTCGAGGTTTATGCGTCAGAAGAAGACTGGACTGAAGATGAACTCAACTGCAAGGAGAGTCTCGTCACGCAGGTAGTTTTCATAGGTCTCCATCTGCGCAAGAGCGAGTTGGAGGCGGGTCTGAGGAGCTGTGTTGTCGCTGATCATTAGATGCTGGTGACTGCTTGTAGACTTTCATTACATGCATTCCAACTACATGTAGATCGTCTGCGACTAACGCTTGGAACACAGTTTTTTTCTGTACGTTTGTGGTAAGCTTGAAATGAAACTAGCCGAGCGCCGCCGCTACGCGGCGGTAGCTTAGGTTTGATTCTACATGTAGCTGTTTGCCGTCCCGCCTGCCTCGCTTCGGCGGAATAATTATTCCAAAAATCCTGAGCCTAAATCGACTTCTCTAACTTCATAAATGTGGGTTTAATTAAGACCAGTCGCTGCCATTGCTTCTGATTTCCCAGTTAGCCGTTGCAATTATT